GCAGAACCTAGCCCATTTGATGCGTCGCCTACGCTCGGACTCAGGCTTGCGCTTCTGAGCTACTGCGGCTCGCATCGGGGCGTCTAGCTCCCCAGCTCGCAGCTCAGCCTGGAAGCGCCGCAGGTTGTCCCTTGCCGCCTCGTTCATTTGAAAGTTGAGGTGGCTGGCTGCGTCCGCCTGGTCGCGGACCGGGTCTTGCGCCCCTGCGCCGACGCCTTCAGCAGACTGCTGAGCCGCTCGGTGTGCAGCAGCTCGCAAGCGGGATTTCTCCTTTCTGCGTGCCACCCACACTCCGGCGGCTTCCTTGTCCTGCAGGAAGCGTGCGTGGTTGATCCACCCGAGGCTTTTATCCATGCTGGGCCTCACTGGGTTTTTGCGCTCCAGTTCTGCCAAGGCCGGGGGGAGCGCCGCGAAGTAGGCGGCTTCTGCGCCCTCGAGCTCTGCGAGGGCTGCCTCTTGTTTGGTGGAGCTGGACGCAGCCTCTCCCGGCAAGGCAGTTGCTACCGGAATTTCGGCCTCGTCGCCAGACCAATCCGGGTCTTCATCTTCCAACGACATCTTACCGATTTCCGCCGTCAACGTGTCCGGGTCGACCTTCAGCGCGATGGCCTTTGGCTCTGCAAGAGCCACCTCCCCCAACGCCTCGGCGCCGTCCACAAGAGGCTGCAAGGGACCTCCTTCTTCAACCTTTGCCCCAGATCGCCTGTGTTTCGCCTTCGCCGGGCGCGAAACGCGCCTCGGCGGACGTAGAGGCGCTTTCCCCTGGCGCAGCTTGCTCTTCCTTCAGTGCTGCTTCTTGGGCTGCTGCCCCTGGGGCGCTCAGACCTGGACCGACCGCAGGCTCTACCTCCGCTATTCCGGGAGCGGAACGCTCCACGGAAGGCATCGGTTCATCGCCCTCGAGCGTGGCCTCTGCTATTCCGGGAGCGGAACGCTCCACGGAAGACATCGGCTCATCACTCTTGGGGCTGCCCTCGGGAGGGTACTGGTCTGAGTTCCTCTGCTCGGCGACTTCTATCAGCTCCATCTCCTCGTCCCCCAGCTCTGGCTCGGGGCGCTCCAAGGTCGCTACCACATTGTCGGTTGACCCCAGTGCTCCTCGTTCACTGCCTCGCGCCGGGGTGCCAGGTTGGAGGCGTGGCCTAAGAACGACAGGCTCCGGTGGAGGACGCACCTCCATGGCTCGCAGGCGCTGCGTGGCGTACGCTGCTGCGCTCAGGGTGGACTGCTCCCTGCGGTCCGAACAGGACTCACAGTCGGAGTCCAGAGCTCTCTGCAACTCCACGCCCACTGTGCCCCGGGGTGCGGCCGACGCCAACTTACGCCTGGCCTCCTGCCTTTCGGTAAAGCGTGCGGCCTCCTTGTGCTCGGCCACAGCCTCAGCTCTCTGCTGGGCTTTTTCGGCCGCGGTTTTCGCAGCTCCTTCCCGGCGCGGGCCGGCAGCCGTTCCGGGAGCGGAACGCCCCACGGAAGACCCCGCTGCCCGCGGGGGGAAGGGAACCGGTCCTTTCCGCCAGGATTCGATCTGCGAGATATACTCGGGAGGTATTCCGTCCGGCGCCAGGTATATGTCATTGGTGGTAAGAAGGAACCGAACCTGGGCGTACCGAGCGGCTTCTCGGGCGAGAACAAACACGGAGGTTTCGATGTCCGACCTCCACCTGCCGTGTTTGGACCCACAGGAGAGGAGGTGGATCGCTCTACGCGCGTGCAATCCTTCCTTGAGGATGTTGTTGCTGTGCCGCGCGTAGGAGCCGTGCACAAGCACCTCTGGGACCTCCTGTAGGGGCAGCTCTCGGCCAGGCCCCACAACCCCTGCTATGGTGTGACCTGACACGGCCGCCACCCACACTTCTTCACCCTCTTGAGAAAGAATTAGCCTATCTTTCTCGTCTCGCCCAATGATTCGGGCGGCATCTTCGCCGGATATGGTTCCGACGCACTCGTTGATGTCCTTCAACGAGACCCATCCGTCTTCGCGGATCGGAAGACCCAGGAGGGCAGCCTCGTGTCTGAGGATCTTGACCAGTCTTCGCCGGTCAGCGTCACTCCGGGCTCGAAACGAGCCACGGAGACGCTCCAGCTTCTCCTGGTCTCTGCGCCCTTTGTGGGCTCCCTTTCCTTTCTGGTTGCCTTTGCCACCCATACCGGAGCAGCGGGTCGTGGACCTACCCTCGAGTTTTCCTCCAAGCCACAGGCGCACCAGGGCCTCTGCGTCGTCCTCCCACGGGAGCTCACAGGCTCCTGCCTTGCCTACACTAGGGAGCGCACCGCCCCCCTCAGAGCTGAAACGGCCGGTCGACGCGTCAGGGGGGAGGGAGCCTACAAACTCGGCAGCGAAAGCTGCCAGGGCGTAAGGTGGGGCATGCAGGGCAAGACGCGCGTCGCTCTCATCGTCATCTGTGGCGTCCCAGCCCCTTCCTCCGAGAAGCTTATAGACCTCCCGGGCCCCGATCACCCTGACCTGTACTCCTTGTTCCCCATGGCTCAACAAATGCAGCGCATCCCTTCGACCGGGGTCCCAGGAGCCATCGTGCAAAGGGGGCATGGGCTTGGTGGGGTCCCAAACAAGCGCGCGCGACCCCTTCTGGGTACAAACCGTCCCACAGGGTTTGGGGGACTTCAACCCAAGAAAGGGGAAAGTGGGGTCAAGGTGCACCGTCCCTTCAACCCAGCCAGCCTTGGGTTTGGGGTCCAACCAGTGGGTAGCGTACGTGTGCAGGGGTGGCGTGCAGGGCTCGAGAGCAGCCCTTTTTTCATCCGTCGCAGCACGTGCTTCCTGTCCTACACCAGGGTTTACACCAACCAGCACCCAGCGGTGCCACCACACCTGCTCTTTAAAGGTGCGGCCGGTGAACTCCTCCGTCCACCATTCCCAGCGGTTCCGGGCATCTTCCGTGCAAATTGCTTCGACCGCGAGTGGTCGGAAAGAGTCTATCCAGATGCTCGCGGCCTGCGCAGGCACGCTAGACACTACCCGTCGCGCCTCCGCTTCGCCAGTCACGGTGGCGACGCAAAGCAGACGTTCTTCCTGCGTCGGGTTTTCCTTTTCACCGGGAGCGAAACGCTCCACGGCGGGTGCTCCTTCCAAAGAGGCTAAGGAGTCTTGGGGGTCGTGCTTCAAGCCTCCGGCGGCAAAGAAAGCTCGGGTGTACACGCCGTGCTCTGAAGCACCGAGCTCGCGCACCTTCCAACCGAACGCGGGCATGGCCCGTGGAGGGGCCGGTCCAATCCTCCGCGTGGCGAGCTGCAGGGCCATCTGCCGATCGGAGTCTGGTTGGCCTACCCACAAGAGGGCTCTGCGGTGCCAAGCTTCTTCCAGCACTCGACCCCAATCGTCTGGAACACTGAGGCGAGTCAGCCCCTGTTGCTCGATGACTTTGTCGGGGTCAAGCCGGGTCAGGTCGTCGGCGGTTTGGTTGTGGTAAGTGCGAAGGTAAGCCCCCCTCACCTGTAGGCCATGGACCCCCTCTAGCGCTCCCAAGTCTTTCAGGAGGTGGTTGGCTTGCGCATTCCCGGCTTGCCGCTTGCGCAGCCAATCTTGCACATTGGTGTTGTCCCCCAAGTACAGAATCACGCTGCCTGCCCAGGCTTCCTTTCTGGCGACTACTAACACGAGCAAGGCCAGTAATTCCGCGACGCCTATTTGCACCAAGTCCTCCTCGGGCTCGGTACGAGCCTCGAGGTCGGTGGGATCCTGGGCGTTGGCTTCAAGAGGCGATAAGAGGGGAGCTGCGGCGCAAGCAACTGCGACCCTGGCGGTCCAGTCGATCGCTCCCAGCCGGGTGGGCGTGGCGTCAGCTGACACCCAGACCAGATTGCGCTTGACCTCTGGTAGGGCCAAGAGTTCAGGCGTGGTGAGTGCGTGCTCGAGCTGCGAGACGAAGCGCGCTTCCCAAAATTGCCGTGAACCGGCCAACAGCCTTTGAAGCTCGATGGCGCTCCAGAATGCTTCCCACTGCGCGGACTGGTCTGCCTCATTCCCGCGTAGGACGACATGGCCTTCTCGGTCGGCGGGTCCCAAGAGCGCATTAGTGCTCTGGAGGTAAGGGGCGAGCTGCGGGAGGACCCCTAGCCAGAACTGTTGAGAGCCCCGTAGCACCTGGACTTCTTTGAGCGGTACCTTGGTCTGGCCGGCGTCGAAGAACGGGGACTGGAGGACGTGGTAGGCTCGTTCGACCTTAAGAGGTGGGAGCCGACAGGTCCCAGCTTCTGTATCGAACTCTAGGCCCCAAATCAATTTTCTCGTGGTGAGGGTCCCCTCTTCGACGTCTTTGGCCACATTGATGGCGAGTGGCCCCAAAGTCTGTCGGATCGCTTCTTCCAAAGCGACCGACAGCTGAGGGCGTAGGCCCAAGTCGGGCTCGATCACAACCGAGTCGTCCATTAAAGCGAGCGACCGGAAGGAGGACGAGTCGTGCCACTCAGGCCGGTCGGGCCCGCATGCTCTGTGGAGCAACTTAATCGCCCATGCGAAAGCCATGAACTCTCCTGGGGCCCCAGTCCATCCGAACGTCATAGCGAGGTACAAGACCGTAACCGGGCGCGAAGCGTCGCCACGGCTGTCCCGGGTAGTCCCTACAGGGGGGAGATCCGCTCCGAAAAGCCTGCAGTCGTCCTGTTCGACCCAAAGCCACTTAAAGGCTTCCGAGACGTCTTTCTTCGCCAAAAGGATGCGGACGCCGGGGTACCGGCTCTTGCACCACATCACCAGCCTTACTACCTCTGCGTATCTGGGTTGGATGGCTGGAAAATGGTCGTCCTTATGACAAAGTTCATTAACGACTCTGGCGTCCCATATAACTCTCCCTTTGGAGGAGACTGACCTGTCTGGGTTGTACTTCGGCACTCTTGCCAATGGTACGGATACCACCCCATCTAACAGGTCCTCCTCGTCGGGGCCCGGGCTCATCAAGAGCACTCGTCCTCGCGTGGCGTCCTGCCAGATTAGTTGCCGAGCTTCTTCCACATGATCCTTAAGGGAGGGATGTGGGGTGGCCTTAACCCGGGCACGCTGCGTGCCACGGTACTCGGCCTTTACCCCTTCTAACCCACGCAAGGAGATCCTCCGGAAGGTGACTGTCGAGGTGGTGATCAAAGAGCCCTGCGAAGTGATCTTCTCCCCGAGCCCTCCACGCGTAGCGCAGCGCTCCCACCGTCCCCTTCCATCCTCCACAAAGCCTGAGGAGGGTCGTTCCCGCTTGCACGGCACCATTCCACGCTTCCAAAGAGTACTCAACCTGGTGCACCTTCTGCAGGTAGGCCTCCGCCGCCTCTTCTGCTTCTTTGGAGAGGCTCTTAGGCAGCCAGGACGGCGGAGGCCCCAGGAGCGGGCCGGAGTCAGCGAACAGCTTTCCGCACCTGACGGAGTCACCTGTTCCCTCAGAGAGGTCAGCTTCTTGGCTTTTTCGCTCAGCCTCCCCCGCAGGGTTATCAAGAACGGTCTTCAGCCTTTGCATTTTGGAAGCAAAATCCTCCTCCCCCCCCCCGGTACTACAAAGCGCGGCGAGCCCAGGGGGCACGCAAAAAGACGCGCGCAACATAGTAACTCCGCCGGCCGGGCCCAACAAGGGGCTGGGCAGGCGTTCGGCATGCCAACACGCGCCGGCAAGTTGGATGCGTGTGGCCTTGTCGGTCCAAGCCCGCCGGTAGAGGGGAGCCTCGAGCACGCAGCGCCCACCGGTTTGCAACTGCGCGGCGGCCAGCCGCAAAACAGAAGACCACTCGTCGGCAGGCGGACCCGGCGGCAGCGCGGCGGGGAGTAGCCAGAGGCAAGAGACGCCTCCTTAGCGGCAGCGGCGTCTGGCAAAGGGCCCCAGGCACAATCGGAGGCGGCGTGTGCGGTGGAAGGCCCCAACACCAGCAGCGGGAGGGGCTGGCCTGCGGGGGGCAGACAGGAGAGCAGCGGCCAGTCGACGGACTTGGTCGAAATAGCGGGAGCAGCTGTGTGCTTGTCGGGCCCGGAACGGGCCTCGACAGAGTGGCCCCGACCGGCGCGCAAAACCTGTAACCCAAACGCCCCGGCTTCACGCCCTGTCCGAAACGATCCGGGCGCCCGCTTGGGGTGGGAGACCTGGCACTGCAGGAGACGCCCCGCGTCGAGAAGCGGAGAGCCCTCCGCCTCCTCAAGGTACGCCTCCCAGCCAGCGGCCTCGAGCTCGCGGCTCCCCAAGGGCGGCAAGCAGGACTCGTCGGGAACCAGCAAACGCATGTGGCCACGGTGCACCAGCACCCACCGGGTGTCCTCAGCTTTACCGCTATAGCGGCGGCCACAGACAACCTCGACGCTGGGCCGCATATAAGCGTCGAGGCGCAGGACGGCCAAGCCCAGGCACTCCCACTCCTCCAAAGGGTGGGCAACCAAAGTGCGGTAGTCGCGGTCGTGCCCAAAATGGAGAAGGTCGTGGTGGAACACTCGGACATCCGCTTCGGCCTGCGTGAGCCGTTCGGGCGTTGGCCCCAGAGAGTCCTCGGCGACTCGTGCCTGCGAGCACCACCGGACTCTCCACTCGGAGGCGAGAGCCCAAACCGCCTCGGGTGTGGGGAGAGGCTGGTCCGGTGTGGCGAGGTAAGCGGCGGCGACGTGCAGCAACAAACACTGCTTAGGCTCGTCGCAGGCGGCGGCAAATCCCATCTGTTCGCATGCCTCAGAAGAGAGGGGAAGCTGGTCTTGGTAGTCGTACATGGCCCAGTGACCGACGCCCTTCCAGGTGAGCGTTCCGATGGTGGAATTCCATGTAAGACCTGAAAGCTGCACCAGGGGGGACTCGCCGGCCTTGCGGTGGATGCCGCGTTCCTCAAGGAGGCGGGCGGCTTCTTCAGACAGCTCTGGGCCACCCAGGGAGACAGCTTCCTCCAACAGGTGCGTAACATCCTCAAGCTCGGGGGCACGACCCGTTTCCTCGCGGAGGCGTAGAAGGCGATTGCGCAGGTAGACACCCACCAGTCCAGTGGGATAAGGCCCCAGGGCGGGTTCAGCCGCGTCAACGACTCGCATAGCGTCCGCTCGCGCCGACTTCTCAAATTTTGAGCTAGGGCAGGTAAGAGTAGCGGCGTCGGCATCGACGTCGCGCCACCAGTTGCTGCCTTCGTCTTTGAGAAGTGCGCCCAGGGTTTCTTCCCGGTCGGTAGGCAGGACATTATCCAAATCTGCCACAACATGTCCTGTCTGTTCGGGTACTCGTTCTCGCAGCTTGCTCCGCCCGTACTCGGGTGAACTCACGGTCGACTTCGTCCCCTGTCTTGGCCTTAGAGCCCTTAAGGCCCCCTCGGCGCAGCAACTGGAGCTGGACCGTGCAGTCCAGGGTCGTCCACTTAGGAGCGGCCTTATGGGAGTGGGGGCACCCGCTACCCTTGTTACACCCGCGATGTGTCAGGAAGTCCCAGCAGAGGTATTGGCCCTGTTGGTCTTTCGGTCGGTGGTCCAGGGACCGGGCCGCTTCCTTGGGCGTGAGGCTGGGACCGAGAAGTTTTGGTGGGGCGGCTTTATCCGCCGCCTCGCCACCAGCTCGACCCTCCTTAGGGGGTGGAGGAACACCGGGCTCGGTTCGAGCCTCGGTGGCATCCCCTTCTCCAGCAGCCCGACCCCCGGTGTTGCCCTTCTTCTGTGCGCCGGCCCAACACGCTCGAGAGAGTTGGCGCTGCATGCGCGGCAACATATCGGTGCAGAAGTATTGGGTATCGTCGTCAAGGCGAAAGGTACCCGGCAGTTGGAGCCAGGGCTGCCCGTCTGGACCAGGGGACAGGGCGAAGAACTTGAGTCGGGCGAAGGTACACAGTGGGTTGTTTGAAGATAGGTGAGATAGGTGAGATACTATCCAGGTTATAAACCATTTATAAGTGACTTAGGCATGGTCTAACTCGTTTCTATCTCTATCTCAAGATACTATCTTCGACGGAAGATGGCAAGAGATAAAAGACTTAGAACGGACTTAGAAAAGATAGCTGCGCCAACAGGGTGAAGAAGTAGTGTATGGCCAGAAGAGAAAGAAAAAGATAAAACAAGATAAAAACAGATAAAAAAAGATAAAAAAAGATAGGAAAAGATAAAAAAAGATAAAACAGAGATAGCAGGAGTATCAACAGACGGCGCTTTGACGAGTCCGTGCATGTAGTTTTTTTCGTGCACCTTCCGCGAGGCTTGAAGAGGCAATGCGAGACCAGACTGCACGATCCCAGAAGAAATGCTCTGATTGGCGTTTCTATACTGGCCGGCACAGCTTACGAAGTGCACGTCCTTTCTGCACACGTGGAAAACGCCGAGCCCTTCTTTGAGGCCAAAAACCCGCTGGAGCTTGCACACATCCTTCCTAAACCCAGAAGGCTTATGCCCGAAGCCTTGAATCTTGAAGCGGAAGTGAAACAGATTGCAAGACACTCTCTTGCAGCTGTCCGCTGTGCCTGTATTGGGGGGTCCCGCCAGCAGCAGCAGCAGCAGCCTACTAGGTCTCAGAATCTGCCAGAGGCAAAGACCTTCTGGCCTCCAGGGTTGAGGCCCAGATGAGGCACTACACGCACTACCCTGCACTACCCGGCCCCAGCTGGCCCAGATTCGTAGAGGGCTCCAGGCACTACTCTCCTTCAGGCTCCCAAGGCCCAGGGGCGCACTACACCACACTACCTTCCGCCAGGGTCCCCAATAGGGTCCAGCAGCTCTTCTTCACTGCTTGGTCTGTGTGGTTCAAGTCCCGGCAGCAGCGTCTATAGGTCTTGTCCCCCAGCAGCTCAGACTCCTGCCGTGCCGGCCAAGCATGGCCGCTACAGACCCGAGCACTCGGGATTGCCATCGTAGGTATAAGTACCTGAAATCAAGCCCTTCCTATCTTTCACAGAAGACGCAGCTGAATGCTGAGCAAGCTGGCGAGGAAACTGCCACCCAGTTGCTGGGCCTTGCGCCCGACGCTGATGCGCTTCCGGCTGCAAGCCTGCCTTCCGAAGCTCTGGCGGCAGGAGCTGAGGCAGTCCCTGGTGCACGGCTGCAGCTGCAGCTCACTCAGCCTTGCGGAAAGTGCCGCAAAGTTTGACGTGTTTGTGCTTTCCATGTTCGGTATCTTTTGAGCCTACTGGTTTTCCTTAAATCAGATAAAAAAAAGATAGAAAAAGATAAAAAAAGATAAAGAAAGATAGAAAAAGATAGAAAAAGATACTAAAAAATAAAACAGATTTAACTTATCTCACTTTTATCTTTTTTTATCTCTCCTTTCTCTTTCTTTCTCACCTAAGTCAAACAACCCACTGTGTAGGAGTCTCGTCTTGCATGGCTCTGCGAATGCGACGATCCAACTCCCGTGCTTCTTCGCAAAAACGGGCCCAAAGTTCTTCCCATGCACCGTAGACTGCGGACGCTGGCCAGGCATAGCCATGTTGTTCCCCTAAGCGCAACAGATGTGAAGCGGCCTTTTCGAGCACGGGGTAATATTCCTCTCCAAAGAGACAGGAGAAGGCCCAAGACTGGCGGAGGGCGGCTCTGAACCATGAGGTCAGCGTGTTAGGGTACCGACCTTTACGTTCGAGTTTGAGGTCAGGTGAGCCCCCGTAGTTGTCGAAATCTTCCTCCGAGGTGAGTGGAAAATCTCCGGCCGATAGGCAGTACTCCGGCAGCGTGTTGAGCGTTTTCCCTCCCAGCTGCAGGGCCGCAAATCCATAGCTGTGCCGGTTTTGAATGTTGCAGGGGAACTCGATCTTCCGCAACTGAGGTCTCGCTTGCGTCCCTGCGATGCGAAGCGCATGAAAGAGTTCTTTCCCTACCACGCCAGGGCAGAGAGTGACACTCAGGGAGTCGCAGCCCCGGAGCAAAAACACAAGCCTCTCCTCCAATCGCCCAATTGATGCCAGTTTACCTCGCTCCTGTGCGAGGGCGTCTTCCTTGGAGGTCAGGCTTTTGGCTATCGCCTGGAGGGCTTTAGTCGTCTCGTCTGCTGCGGGTGCCTCTGCATCCGTGAAGGCTCCTGCTCGGAAAGCCCTGGTGGCCTGGGCCAGCGCATCTACCGCATCAGTTCTGCCCCCAGCTCCCCCTGCTCCGGGGTTTTGCCTGAACAATGCCTGAGCGGTTGGCCGGTGATCCGAGCCCTGGGCTGCCCACGGACGTTCCGGGGCTGGAGCAGCCCACGGACTTGTCCTGCTCTGGTGGTGAGAAGGAGGACCCGGGTCCGAAGCGGTCCACGGGTAGAAACCTCCTCCTGGCTGCCCGTCTGTCGAGACCTGCGGTTGGGCTAGTTCCCAAATGAATTTGCTGGCCTCGGCCGGTAGTTCGCTGGTAATTCGTATGCAATGCCTCCGTGCCAGTTCCCGGAGACGCCTCTGTCTCTCGGACGGAGTCCGGCCGTCCACCTCGGACACCTCGACAGCTGAGTCGTGCCCCTTCCCCTGGAGTCTCGCTTCCATATACGCGAACAGGGCCTGGCTGTCGTCTGGTGCATCGGTTCTGGAGGCGCTCCTGTCCGGTCCACCTGAAGTTGGGCCGGGCGTCGCGCCTCTTTGCTTGAGAAATATGGCCCTTTTTCGAAGATCTTCATCCGGTATCCCCGCGATCTCTTCCCAGGTCAACCCCGTGAGTACCTGATCCTCGACCGAAGCGTCAGCTCCGGGAAAGTGGGCAACTGAGGTGGCTCCATCCAAACGCGGGGGGGAGGAAATCCCTCGGAGTTCAGCAGCCTCAGTCCGCGTTCCGCGCTTGGGTGTGGCATCCTGCGAATGCGGCCGGGCGCGCTCCGCGCCACGGCTGATGGACCTCTTTCTGGCTTCCTGAGGACCACGGGACCGAGAAGCGAAATTCCCCTGCTTGGGGGTTGGGCCTCGTTCTTCCTTGCTGGCGTGCAGTCTGCAAAGTTTGACCCCTCCCTTCACTGTCTGGGCGACCTTCCCACAGCCCTCGACTGAGCAAGCTCTTCTGGTCTTTGAAAGGTCGTAGCTCTCCTGGTGGCGGGCGCATAACTGGCAGCTGGCTTGAAGTCCATCCCAATGCAGTTCACCACTACTACTTTGCATGCCGTCATCGTTGAGAAGCCTGACCCACGAACACGCGGCGTCTTTGCAGCGCTCTTTGCTGAGCCTTTTCGTCTGCGTGCCCTCTTTCCAGGCGATCGCATCGGCCTGGCACGGGTTGTCTTCTTCCTCCGATTCGGTCTCTGACAAATCGTGGCGCGGAGTGCGCCCTTCTTCCTCACCCGGGCGCGGAGCGCGCCTCGAGTGCTTCGCTCCGCCGCAACAGCACCAAGAGGTGATCCAACGCCCACATGCGCGTCCGGTGCTCCAAAGTCCCGTGATCCCTTGTAGGGCCATAAACTTGGACGCGTTGAGGGCCCGACACATAATTAGGTCCTCGGCCTGACAGTTCGTTCAGGTCGACGTCCACGCTCTGGGGGACCACACTACTGGCCGTGATATGTAGCTCTGCTGCTTCAGGCGAAGTGCATGGTTCTACCGAGCACAGGTGAACAACACACTGCGCTCGCTCCAAACACCTTCTCCAGTAGCGGTGGGACGCCCCGTGTACACTGTCACACCTGCAAAGAAACCCATGGCGGTTGGTGCGACCCCGTACGGCTCTTACTTGATCTTGAACGTAGGTGACCGACCAGGGATGCTCACCTTGGGGTCCTGTCCATCTGACGTGATATGGTTTTTCGCCGTGCCCCCTCAGCACGGCCTCCCAGGTCCCTCGGCCCGCCACGTACTGGAGCAGTGCTCCAATGACGACGAAGATGGGCCTGACGACCCACGCATAGGTCCAATAGGTAAGTTGTAACATACCCAGCAGGATGGTAGTGGTGGCCAGCCAATAGGTCCACCTTGCAGCGAGCCCAATGGAGGCACACAGGGTGCCGCACCAGGTCAACCCCCCTTCCCATATCTCCCACAGTACTCCGGCCAAAATCCGGAAGTACCAGCGACGAGAATGGGCGTCTTCGGCTTGGGGCGTGCTGGCTTTCGGTTCAGTGGAGCCTTCCCAGGACCAGTCGAACCACCAGTACGATGCTCCCGGGCTCGGTTCCGAGCCACGGGTACTGTAAGGCTCGTGCCCTTCTGTAGGGCACGAACCTGCTCCTCCTTTGTCGCACGTTTGGTTTTCGCTACCCACAGCGAAAGGCCATAGCCCCCCGAGCGGGCGCACCAGTGCGCCGATCAACAGCAGGGCGACTCTCATTGTCACCCTTGAGCCTACGGAGGTGAAACACTACGCACGCAGCGCTAAGCTACCACAATGCTGTGAGGGATAGTCCCCACCCTAAACCTTCAACCCTGCGTCACACACATAGGTTGCAAGATTCTTGACTGCCGGTTCAGATGCCCAACAAGATTAACTTCTCACTCTGGTAAGGATTCATACTCAAGCCTGAGCCACTCCGCTCTAACTGGGGGCTTAATCTAAGACATCCTCGAAACCCTCAAGAAATCTCATAAAGCCCATATTTCTTAAAAGAAACTCTAAAACCACCATAACATCTGTATGAAACCCTAAAGAATTCTCAGAATGCCCACATAAATCCCTGCAAACTCTTAGTTCGAATCCTGGAGAGGTCCCAGTCAAGCCTCGCAATCCTAAACCCCAAAACACTGACGGCCGGCGTGGGGTTTAGGGCTGTAGGGATCTTTTAGGGCTTATAGGGTTTAGGGTTTAGGGGTTTAGGGTTTAGGGCCCAGACCCTCCAAAATCCCTTAATTAAGGAATACACCTTAAACTATATTAGGGATCCTACTATGACTAACGGCCATGAAAGTTTTCTTGCCGGAGGTGAGTTGATCCACGGTGCGGCTCGCGGCAAAAGAAGCGGCGGACAGCACCATGTTCAGGCCCGCAAGGTCGTAGGTTTCATGTCCAGCGGCGCCCTTCTTGGAGGACGTGTGGTCGAGACAGATTTCCGGGTGGTAAACCTTCAAGTAGTTGTGTATGAAGCTTTCTGCAAGCTCTGCCATCCAAGGGTTGTGGGACACAAACAGGATCGGTGCATAAGTCAGCTCAGCGCCCATCTCTCGCGCGATGGAGCTATATCCTCGGAGCCGTCCAAGGATTGGAGGATCGCTGCCGGTAGACTTGTGAGTGCAGTGGATCGAGGATTTTCCGACTTTGACATATTTAGAGAACACGAGGACGTGAACCAAGCCAACTCCTTGGGCATCGGCTTGTCCGCCCCAGAGAAGGATCTCCTCGATGATCGTGTTCAATCTGTCTCAGGGGTTGATAGGGTTGATAGGGTTTAAGGTTTAGGGTTTATAGGGTTTAGGGGTTTAGGGATCTTAAGGCTCCTTAAAAGCGGAATTTTAGGTGTTCCTGTAAACGGGATCTAGTAAGGGTGTAGGGCTTATAGGGTTTATAGGGTTTAGGGTTTATGGGGTTTAGGGGTTTAGGGATCATAAGGCTCCTTAAAAGTGGAATTTTAGGGGTTCCTGAAAACGGGATCTAGTAAGGGCTTAGGGTTTATAGGGTTTTATAGGGTTTAGGGCCTATAGGGTTTGGGGTTTAGGGAGAATTTAGGGTCTAGGGTCAAAGATCCTAGAAGAAGGCTAGTCGGGCTTTTCAGCATCAGAGGTGGCCTCCGCGGGTTGAATCGGGTGAAGGGTTGAGGGTTACTTGAAGGTTCACGGGTAGTTATAAGTGGGGTTATAAGTCCCCTAATCGAAGTTGTAAGTATAGCCACCCTACTTATAACCATACTTATAACTACCCTAGAACCTCCAAGTTGGCTTTAGGGGTTTACGGATTTGGGGGTTTGGGGTTTGAGGGGGGAGGAGTTGGGGTGCATAGTCTAAGTGTAAGGGTTTAAGGATTTGGGGGTTAAGGGTTTAAGGATTTGGGGGTTTTGGTCTTTAGGGGTTTAGGGGTCTAGAGGTTAAGGGCGCGACTTAGGGTTTACAAGTTTAAGGGGCCTTAGTGATTGGAACCCGCAAGCCCCTATCCTATTCTAATTACTAAGGCCCCTATATTATAGTACCCTTATACTAACCCCTATAGTAGCCCTTTAAAGGAACCCTATTCAAACTATATAAGGCCCCTTCATTAGGGTTGAGGGCCCGGGACATGGACCCAGTTGTCCGGCCTCGGCTGTTGCAGCGTCGTCCGAGAATGAAAGAGACCAGACGTCCTAGCTCAGCCGCTGCTCAAAGGGTTTAGGGTTTAGGGCTTAGGGTCCAGGGTTTAGGGTTTAGAATTTAAGGTTTAGGGGTAGGGAACCAAAACTACAGCCATCCTAAACTCTGAACCGCTTGAACCCGTGAAAGTTGAATCGTATGGGACATTGCAGTGAAGTCCAGAAAGTTGGAGCATGGATTCAGGATGAGTGTGAGCATTTGGTATGCTTTGCTGCAAAGGCAACAGGATAAGTTCAAGTTTCCTAACGCGAAACCTCAACAGCACCCGTCCGGAAAGCTCGGAAAACACTCATGCAAACTAGGCCCCTCAACTAAAGCCTACAACCCCTGCATGGCCTCTCTGAGCCTCCACCCCACCTAAGAGGACCCTTGCAATGCACGCAGATATGATGAACATCGAAACCTCCCACGCCTCGGCAGAGTCCCTAAGCTCTCACCCTAAAATGCCCTAAGCCCTGAGCCCTAAACATTATGGTTTAGGGGGTTTAGGGTTTAGGGTTTAGGGTTTAGGGCATAGGGTTTAGGGGTTTAGGGTTTTAGGGTTTCGGGTTTGGGAAGCCTCTGAACCCCAAACACTGAAGCCAGCCGTGAACTTACTTGTCCGTTTACCAATAGCCACAACCAAAACACCTCAGCATCGCGACAGAGTCGGGAAGTCTGCACGCAGAAGTTTAACGCTTAGGATTTGGCTTCAGGGTTTGGGACTTGGAGTTAGGTCAGGGTTTTGGGCTTAAGCTTGAACTACATCGCTCTCGTGCCCTAAGCCCGAAATTCCAAACCCGAAACCCTGAACCCCTTAGAGATCCCTTTAAAGGAGCCCTTATAGATCCCTTTAAGGGGAGCCCTTATAGATCCCTTTAAAGGAGCCCTTATAGATCCCTTTAAAGGAGCCCATATTTCCTAGAGCCACCAGTCTCACTTCCCCTACTTTCAACTACCGAAACCAACTTCTGTGCAAGGTCCCTATAAATTCACATTACTTGGAGGGTCGGGGGACTTAGTAAGTAGGTAGTAAGTAGACTTATAAGTACCCTAAGAAGGGGCCCTAATTGGGGTTATGGTACTTATAAGCCCCTAAAACAACCAGTTACTAAGTCCCGCGACCCTCCAAGTAGGGCTTATCTTATATTATAACAGGAGCCTACAAACAAGTAGGTTATGGCAAAGGTATGTAGTCCGGATGGAAGGGCGCTACTGTTGTTTCTACTCAAAGGCTTCACAGTCTATCCCTGTGGGTTTGCCGGGTATGTTCAAGGCGCATGGAGAGTTTTACATTGTTTCGGGTTTAGGGTACATGGGTATATAAGAGCCGCCCTAAGCCCTAAACCCCCTAAACCCATCTGTATAGCGGCCGGAGTGTTGATCTAAGCTTTGAAGCTGGACGGCGGGACTGTGGCGAGGTGACTAAAGATCTATGTGGGCTCTAAACGAGTTCTAGGCGAATGGGGTTGAGGTTCTAGCGACTCTCCATTGTGAGGGATAAGGGCCTCGAGGTAGTGCAACGTTCTCAGACCTAACGCCAAGCCTTCAAACTCGCGAAGCCAAAAGCCTACACCTAGCAACTGAACACCTGAGGCCCAGCGTGCCAAATCAAACGGCACAGTTGAGGGATTCGGGCTTCGACAGTCCGGAATCACGATGAAGACGTCGAAAAAGAACCAAGTCCTCACAACACGTTTAAGCTTTAGGGTTTTGCGGCTTCGGGTGGTTGGCTATGGTTCTTGCAAGCTATATAAATCTCTAAAGCCCGACATCAGAAAGCCCCAAGCTCAAAACCCTATTCTAGTTGTTAATGCCCCTATACTACTACTATAGTACCCTTGAAAATTCCTTATAACAACCCTTATAGACCCTTTCAAAAGGAACCCAAAAGCCCACTAAAAGGTTGCAATGCACGACATGCTCCCAAACCTTCCTGGGAGCGACCTGTCGAAACTGATCAAACCCTGAGCCGTACTTACCAAATGCCCATTGGGCAAAACCTAGACCCTAAACTCTAGTCTAAGTAACCCTTATAAGCCCCTAAACCCTAAATCTTCAGAAGAAGACTACCTTATAAGAGTCCAAAAGGTTAAAAAGTTGGGCTTTGAACCACTCAGTCCCTAAACCCAAAGCCCTAAACCGTTACTAAGAGACCCAAGGCAGCTCAAGGACAACATCCGGATCTTCTTACCGAGAGTATATGGGGAGTTTCCGAAAATGGGGGGGGGGGGGGGGTACGTTCTTTTGGGGGTCCCTATAACAAGGATCCTACGACTTAGGGTGCTATCTTAGGGTCCCCTATTTTCGGAAACTCCCATATGAGGAGATCCGCCTTGGGACTGACGTCTGTCAAGGCACAGAGTCCAGGGTTGAAGGTTTGGGTTTAGATTCTTAGAACTTCGACTTATTATTTCGGATAATAATTATGAAAACTATGAAAAAATACTTTTACTATGATTGTTATCAATCTTGGTAGTAGTAGTAGTAGTAGTAGTAGCAGCAGCAGCAACAGTAGTAGTAGTAGTGGTAGTGGTAGTGGTAGTGGTAGTGGTAGTGGTAGTGGTAGTGGTAGTGGTAGTGGTTGGTAGTGGTAGTGGTAGTGGTAGTGGTAGTGGTAGTGGTAGTGGTAGTGGTAGGGGTAGTGGTAGTGGTAGTGGTAGTGGTAGTGGTAGTGGTAGTGGTAGTGGTAGTGGTAGTAGTAGTGGTAGTGGTAGTGGTAGTGGTGGTGGTAGTAGCAGTAGTAGTAGTAGTAGTAGTAGTAGTAGTAGTAGTAGTAGTAGTAGTAGTAGTAGTAGTAGTAGTAGTAGTATTCGCATTACATACTGTACTATATATGGATCCTTCTGGCAAAGAGTGCTCAACAGGGTAACTTGTGCGCTGAGCATACAAGGCTGCCTCAACGGCAGCAGCAGGGAATGTGGAGCTGGCATGCCGTGGCACACGAAACTCGAGCTACATTCCCTGGTGCGCAGTAGGGCATGCCGGAATGGATCCCGATAGTCCCTGTATAGTCCCCAATACCTACTTGTCGGGTATCATGGGGAACTAAAGGTTAACCATTTTGGTTATATAGGCATTATCTAGGGACTATACTACCCAAAAAAGGTTCAAGGTTACTAGGAATAATGGCTGGGAAGAACCAGGCAGTGCAGCTCAGCAGGGTTTGTCGTCCAGGGCTCAAGGCAGTTTAGGGTCCAGGGCCACAGTTGACACGGTTTAGGGTTTAGGGTTCAGGGTTTAAGGTTTAGGGCTTCGGGCTTAGGGTTCAAGGTTTCGGGTTTAGTCCACAGCCCAGTCTTTCAACTGATTCTCTCCTCTATCCCATGTCCGGATCACAACAGCTCCACCAACCACGGGCAGAAAACACTAAACCCAGAACCCTCAACGCCCTAATCCACAATGCCAAGTCTTGAGGGCTTAGTCCAGGGTCTACGTCTTCAGCTGTGGGTTTTGTCTGGGTTTAGGGATCTAGTCTAACACCCCCGTTCAGCTAGGGTTAAGGGCTAAATTAGGCTTCAGGCCAGGTAAATGCAGACAAAGCGTCTTCAGATACTCCTTCGCGATGTCTGAGGGCTTGGTCAGCAGAGTGTTGTTCACGTAGACGGCGGTAAAGAATGAAGCGGGGATATCCAGAAGCCAGTAGGCGGTGGACCTGGATTAGAATAGAGGGGTGTACCTACGAACACACAAAACCAATTGCCTTCCACGTATATGGGCACAAGGCTAATGTAGAATCCCTGAGAAAGCGCTCGGTTCGCGATGAGGCCTTCAATGAATGTGAACAACGAGAAGCTTAACGGTTGATGATATAAATCCTGCATGGCCCATAATAAGGAATATACCATAATTCCCATAGTTTAGGGTCCTTAAGGTCATGCAGGATTTATATCATCAACCGAATGACACAATTAGTGTCAATCGTGGGGGGTTGGCGACTTGCGGTTTCGTAGAAGGAAGAACTACCCCACAAGCTATAACTAGGGTTTAGGGTTTAGGGTTTAGGGTTTAGGGTTTAGGGTTTAGGGGATAGACCAGATAAATCCTGCCCCTCTGCCTGAAGCCGTACAGCCTCAGCAACTGTAAGGTTGAAGCCTGGATCCCAGGCGCCAGAATCTTAAACCATACCCGCCCTAAATGCAAAACCCTGACCCCTAAACCCAGAACCCAAAACCCTGAACCCAAAACCCAAAACCCAAAACCCTGAACCCAAAACCCTAAACCCTGAACCCTGAACCCTAAACCCTAAACCCTGAGCTGAGGCCTAAACCACAAGGATTCTAGAGCAGCCAGGCTGCAGGATCTGCACCGCGTGCACGAAGTCTTTCATCGACTGCTCCTAGGGGTGCAGGGCTTGGTCTTTTTACCTACAATTTAGGGTACTGTATTAGGGTCCCCCTATTTGCGGAAACTTCCAGCTCTCTCTTTGACTAAAGGATTTGGGGCTCAAGGGATTTTAGGGTTTAGGGTTTAAGGGATTTTTGGATTGAGGTTCTATAGGTTTAGCACTTTAGGGCTTACAGTAGCGTTCGGAAACTACGGTTGATGATATAAACCCTGCATTACCTTAATGACTGTAGACTATGAAAACATATGGCATATTCGTTATTATGGGTAATGCAGGTTTTATACCATCAACCGTAGCATAATATCGTGCACTTGTTCAGGCCAGCGAGTTGAGGGTGTAGGACGTGCAGGTTCAGGAAGGCGCATTCATTGACAGAGTGCTGAAGCCCTTGGTGACTCCAACAACCGGTTTCGGGAGGGGGTTTAGGGTTTGTAGGGTTTGGGGGGTTTCGGGGTTCACGGTTTGGGGGTTTAGGGGCTTGGGGTTTGGGGTTTACGGCCGAAGGTTGAAGATATCGCCGCTTGTTGAATGCAGCAGGTGCCTGCAGCATATTGGTCTCATAGTGTCTTTTAAATCGGCTTTTGGAAATGGCTAGTTGGCATAGCAACCCTAAACCCTAAACCCTAACCCCTAAACCGTAACCCGTTGAATCCCCCAATTCCGGGTTCCTTACAAGAAGGGTTCTTTGAAGGCTCGCTCCGAGGGCTTAAGGTTTGGGTTCGAAGGCCCAGGGGGTCTATAAGGGTTACTACAAGGGATCTATAAGGGTATATACTATAATCGTTTAGGAACCTGATTATTAGGGTTCCTTAGGGGTACTATAAGGGATCTATAGGGGTGCTCAAGGCTTTGGGTTTAGGGTTTAGGGGTTAGGGTTTAGGGTTTGAGGTTGCGGGGGTCCAGGTACAAACTAACGGGCACTGCTCCTTACAGCGGCTGGAGTCTCTTTGTATAATATTGGATCATAACAAGCTATCGTGTTCGTGCCCACAGCTTCTGGATCACACGTGGCTTGCCCGGGTTTTGGGCCTTGGCTGTCATTGCGCGGGTTTAGGGTTTTGGCTGTTCTAAACGCCGTTATTCAGTAGCTGGAGCAGCACATATGTGCTTCGTGGGAATTGCAAGATCGCGCATGTACACGTTGGCTCAGACTGGTCTACCGGGGTTTGGCGGGCTTCTCATACCCGATCAAGTTCGCTGATACTGGGTGTGTCCCCAGCAGACGCATGGACCTACTCCCGGTGTCGAAGGGATGTCAGCTGAGGATCAACCTCAAAACAGTTGGTGCCCGGGGACATCGGATAAGCTGAGGTTATACTCTCCAAGGCTCGCTGCTCTATCAGCATGGGCTGCTGCACAACAACCAAGTCAGCCAGAAAAGTCTGTCTACCAAAGCGTTTATTTTGCGCACTGCACCAGGGCTTTGCAAAGCGAGTACAAATGCTAAACTCGGCACACCAATCCCCAAACCGTGAACCCTAAACCCCAAACCAGCCCAGTGTCCCAGTGGAAGACTGAGGCGGGAATGATGAAGAGGTCGTAGGTCATAAAAGCAAGGGCCAGAACCTTGCAGTTGTCAACAAGGGCTCTGTTTTGGAGGTTCCATGTAATATAGGAACCCGATTAAGAAACCTTGGGTCTTTATTAGGGTTCCTTATATGAACTCCACTCTTCTGGGGTAAAAGGCCCAGGGCTTCTGCTTCTTAATCAGGTTATGCCTTGATCCTATTGCTGCTATACAGGGGCCTTAATAATTAGAATAGGGTCGCGCTTCGACGTGCTCTGAAGGCTTCGGATGTGACGCTTCAGCGTATTATAAGAGAAGGACTGTATAATGGTAGCTTAGACCTGAAACCCTAAACCCTTAGAGGAACCATTCATAAATCCACAAAAGGAACCCTTACAGATCCTTCTTATGGAAACTTAACTCAAATTCCTTACCTACTTGTCGGGTATCATGGGGAACTAAAGGTTAACACTTTTGGGTTATTATCGGGGTTATTCAGGGACTATACTACCCAAAGAGGTTAAAGGTCGCCTACTCTACTGCTAGGGAAGGATTCAGGGGCATACGAGGAGACTGGAAGGTTCCAGGTATTGTTTCAGGGTTTGCGCTGTAGCATCAGCAGGGACACCCAAACCCTAAAGAGCCCTAAATGCTAATAAAAGCCCTAATTATCGAAATTGGGTGAAACAAAGTCTCTCGGCTTCCATCCCGTGAACACTTGCGTTCTGCTCTCATTCGATGGTATGGCCCAGAGACGGCACAACCCTTTGTGAAACAATGTGCCGTACCTTGAGATACACCGTGACCCCATTCCCTAAACCTAATGTTACAGCCCCCGGTGTAGAAGTGTTGGAGCTTGTGGGCGGTCACGCTGCTCCTAGCCGAAGAAGCCTTAAGAAAATGCAACCCAGCCCCGTACAATAGAGGGGCCTCAGACACTAGAATTGGGGCATACCGTGGCATAGATATGACAAGGAACAGACTTGACCCTAAACCCTAAACCTCCACCTCAAGTATGACGGATCCTTCCCTGATCCGGCCATCGACTCGGAACCCTACTTAAAGGATCAGGGGACTTAGTAAGTAAGGTTATAAGTACCTTAATTGGGGTTATACGTATAGTTACCTTGATTACAACCCTAGTTACTAAAACCCATGACCCTTAGTAGATCCTACACAAAAGCATATTATCACTCTAAACCCTAAACCCCAAACATGCGGCCTCGTTCTCCTGTAACAACAGCCATAAAGCCCCAACGCACCCATGCAATGTTTCTACATCCTTGCTGATCCCCTATAAACAGCCCTAAACTGCCGAAAAGAAGCCACAGATCCCGTTTTTTGCACGCTAAGCAAACTCTTGCAGACTTGGAGGAGCCTGAAACCACCCGCACCCCAAACCCCTAAACCCTACCTAAGCAACCAAAAACAAACAAAGCCCTAAAGCCGTAAGTCCTAAAGCCCTAAAGCCCTTAATATAGGGGCCTCAAAAAATTACCTATACAGTTTGGGGGTTTCCTATTGCAATTATAGTATAATGGCCCCGAAACCCTATTCTAATTTTTAAGGCCCCTATAGTACCCTCATCGTCCGTGTGGCGTCCCAGCACATCCGAGCGCGCGAGGAAGGTCGGACGATGCAACGATTGGGTCCTTGGGTCAAACTCCGACAACTGTGGCTTTTGGGATTGATCTCATAGGGTTTCGGGTCTAAGTTTATGGTTTATGATTTAGGGTTTCGAGCTTAGGGTTTATAATAGGGTTCAGGATTCATAGCAGTGCTCAAAAACGGCTTAAGGTTAGTGTGGAACTCTCCCAGGGCTCTGCAAAGGTCTGGGGTTCGGGATGGAAAAAAGTTTAGGATAGCGGTACTAGGGTGCCGGGATGCTTGTAGAAAGGCTTCCAAGACAGAGGGTCTGCGAGAGCCCAAGAGTACCCCTAAGCGTTGAGCCGTACTTGAAACCTTGCTTGTAACCTACGAACAAAAGCCCCTAACCCTTGAATTGCAACATATCAACAAATTACTACAGTGGAACACTGCTAAGGAGCAACAGAGAGTATAAAGAACGTATCCTCCAGTATGACCTTCCAACTTGAAAAGGAGGGACCCTTGAAAAGGACCCCGAGGTAATATACCCTTACTATAGCCATTATATACCCATGATATAGCCCATTATAGGGTAGGGGTCCCATTAAGGGTCTCTCCTTCCCCCCTTTGATTATACTGACCTTGGTAATAACCCCTATTGAACCCTATCTAAAAGAAGGCCCGTGAAACGGGGCTGCATCTCTTCGTCTTCGTCTTGGGGCTTCAGAACATTACAATGGAACCCTCACATAGACTCTTAGACCTTGAGTGGTAAGGCCCTTCCTCAGGAGATCACCTCAAAAAAGGGTTTAGGGAGCTAGGGTTCAGGGATGGAATTCTTGAGGGTTGAGGGGTTTAGGATTTAGGATTCTGGAGATCACCCTTCTCTGCAGATTGGCCACTCTCTTTCTCCATCGCCTGGCAATTGCAAGATCCGAAAGACAAACAACGCAAACGTTTCATCAATTTGTTCTTTAGACTTTGGAATTGTAAGATTCGAGACCAAGGCTGCTTTAAGCTTGACGCCTGGCGGCTTCTTCTATTCAATGTATGTGGTTGCGGAACCTCTGAAGATTTCGGGGTGAGACTTTGAGTGGGTTGAAGATTTATGAGGGCTTTCATTCGGTGTTTTTTGGTTTCTAGGGTTTAAGGTAGTTTGAGATAACGAACCGCCAACCCTAAGCCGTAAGCCCTAAATCCAGCGTTTTGGTGTCGCGAATTGGAGCCGTTTCGGTCTTTCGGCGCAGGGCTCGAACGTTTAGGGTTTAAGGGTTTCGGGCAGTTTCGGGTTTAGGGCCTAGTTTAGGGCTTGAACTATTCATGCTTTTGAAATATGTCGGATGCCGGCGGTTTTTGTTTCAGCCACAGAGACTTAAGTCCAGGGTTACGCAAGCCATTCCCGCTCAGGCATCGTGCTTCTAATGGGTTACCGTTCCCGCTCGATGTGATCAAGTACTCATGAGACCAATCATATATGCAGATATAGTACAGGCCCCAGAGGCAGACACGATGATTCCGCAGTATGCACTCGGTCCAAACAATCCTTTATTGGGAATAGAAAACTCATTGAACCTGAAGTGTAAGACATAGACGGATGATCGGAAGTTCAGAATTTGCTGAAGATTGGGGTTTACATTTAGAAAGTGTGTAATTCAAGACGTCCCAGAGCGTGGGAATGGCTCGTGTGGCGGTTGGGCGACGACTCATTGGCGATTCTCGGCTGCATTGGGCCCCTACATAATCCTCGAACCTTGATTGAACATAGCCCAGCCGAGCCCTACCTAACCTCTAAATCCTGAAGATGCACATCGACTGATAACCAGGTGTGGGGGTATGTATCGGGAGAACAGGGTTTAGAGTTTAGGTGTTGGTGATGAAGAAGGCGAAGCAGAAGTAGGAATTTCATTGTTCTGGTGGAAGCCGCAAAGTTGGAACGTGTCCACAGGAGCAGATTGGCCCCAAGCCACAGGTTCCAAGTTTGATCTTGGAGGCTGAAGTTGGAACATGGTCCGAAACCCGCCAAGGGAAAGGTGGAACCTGTTGTCCGAACCCCAAGCTAGACTTGGAACCTTGCAGTCGCATCGAGCCACCCAGCCAAGGAGGGGGGAAGTATGAGATATGTGTACATATATATATATATATATAGAAACTTAAGATGTCCGAAGCCTGGAGTCGCCCCCTTTATTTGCAATTAGGGTTCAGGCTTCAGCCCTGAAGCCCCTCGAAAAGGGCTTTGTTTTGCTTTTTGCTTCCTTTCCTAGACGTATATATAAAAACGACCGCAGTTGCATAAAGCATCATAAATCGATTTCCGTCGGCCCTTTGTCTTTCAACTTTCGATTTCTGGGAAGCATGTCCAGTATTGCAGAGAGACAGGAACTGCAATTACTACGACCGCTCCATTATTGCAGAAAAAGAGAAACTACGTACAACTGCTACGATGGTTCCAGTATTGCAACCAGAAAGAAACTGCAATCATTACGACCGCTCCGTTATTGCAAAGAGCGGGGAACTGCAATCACCACGGCCGTTCCAGTCTTGCAGAGAGAGAGAAAATCTCCAGTATGCAATTTTGCAGAGAGACAGTAATTACTCAGACCCCACGACCATATCGCTAGTCAGTGGTATGACCCCAGGGATCGTCGAAGGACCTGTATCGAACACTCGAGCACTGACGCCTCCCCATGCTTCTGTATATAGGCGTGTTTGTGTTGGCTCAAACCCTCCCTCCCAACCCGCCCCCCGCCCCCCCGGTTCCTAGGGTTGCGGTTTGTGTGTGGGGGTGGTTTCGTTTCAGGGTTTTTTCAGGGTGGTTTAGGACACATCTGCCTAGGTCCCTATATTTTTGGGGAAACCGGGCATAGGGTTTAGGGTGCCTAGCCCCCCAAGTTTTAGGGGAAAGCGGGCACATAGGGTTTAGGGCCCAGCATTTAGTTTATATTTTTTTGGGGTCCCCCAACCAGGGGAAGCTGGGCTTAGGGTTTAGGTTAGTATTATGTTAGGTTGTTTCCCCTCCACACGGTGCCCCCCCACCGCCAAGCATAAGGCCCAACCTTGATGACATCCACACTTGGTTTTCCGGCCGGTCCAGTCAGAATGTTCCAAACTTGAAACATAATGCCAAAATTGGAAGTTGCATGCACTCGCTCATCGAGTGCTGAATGTCAGGGTGCGCATGTTCCAACTTTTTGGCTTCCACTGTAGTAGCATGGGGATAAGATCGATTGTTGATGCCCGGCTTCCATGCAATATATGATGCATTTCGGGGTTTAGGGCTCGGAATTAGGCTAAGTTCGGGTCTAAAGTTACATAATTCACAGGTTTATAGTGAGCAATTAAATTCTGATGTTGCAAACATTCTTTTGCGGAGGCTCGGATTGATAGGGTAGCTCTTTGAGAAACATCCTTCTGGCCGTGCCTAATCAACGACCCAGCCCAAAGAGTTGAAATTACTTAGAGAATTGGGTAATGTATTTAGGTCATGCCAATTGCGCATCGCGGCCCCTTGTTCTCCAAGGCTGTCATTTGCACACCTCGAGAAGTGTGCAACTTAAACTCACTCAACCCTTGCTATCCCGAGCCTTTAAGCCGAAGTCCCAAACCTCAAATCCCTGAAGCCTTCTACTACCCCAAACCCTGATATACTGAACACCAAACCTGAAACACTTCAACCCCCAGGCCTTTAGCCTACAAAGATATTGTACTCTTCTAAGTCTTGTCCCGGAAGTGTGTATTGCGCACCCACGACCCAAGATCCCCGGTAATGTAGGAAGCTGCTGGAGCACGCTGGGGCTCCTGTGATATTTAGAAGATCTGAGGGTCCTGATGTTTAATAGTCTCGGGGGCTACTTGCATGGATAGTTCATGCCTGTCTTCACCCGCAGCTCGGGTACTCTTTGCGATGTACTAGTGAGGGTATTGTGATGAATAGGTTGGGTGGCTTAGGTTCTATGCGCTTGGATCGGATGTCCATTATGCAGACTGGCATGGCCACCATGGAAGCTCGGTGTTGCTTGGATGAGCAGTTTCGTAGCACATCACAGATCAGTCTTGCAATCGTCAAGATTATTAGGGGTGGGGGTAGGGGGGCGGTGGGGTAGGGGTTGCTAGGGGATATTGAGTACATCCGTACATCCCATGGCATAAGATACAGCGAAATATAGAATCTATTCACCTCCAGAAATATGCAAGTTCAACCCATCGAACCCTGGCCAGCCATTCGGAACCTTAAAGACAAGGCTGCTTATAGTCTCAGACCTTGTACTATCCTAATACTAAGATTTAAACTTCAGAGCTTCAAAGGTCCAACCCTCAGGCCTTTCGAATTAGCAAGCCGGGTTCACTCGTGTGTGTATATGGCATGCCTCTCTTTTTCTCTCCTTCCTCTGTTCTCCGTGGATTCCGCGATCGGTGCGCTTTGGCTTGTGATATGGGTTTAGGGTTGTATGGTTCTAGTCTGTAGGATAACCTGTGCACCAGGTGCACGCCGGGATCAGCTGGCCACGACAGCCAGGGGGAAGCTCGGTCTCGGTGAGATTCAGGTCGGTTTCGAAACAATCAAGCATGCAATCGTGGGATCCTAAGATGTCATGTCTGTTGATCTAAGGACTCTGGCAATATGTTATGATTGGACACAGTGGCCATTCTCTGCTACGAAAAGACATAAGTAAGTGTGTGTGTGTGTGTGTCTCGGTGCGGTGTCAGGAATGTCAGCATTACAGATCTCGCCGTGCTTGCACTGTTTCGAGTGTCTGCGGTGCTCTGAGCGGTTTTGATAGTCGACTTTGGGTCCCGGACACAGAAGCCAAACCGTGCTGCTCCTCCTGACGGTGGGCTTGGGGCGGATCTACTGCGATCTAAGCTTTGTTTTCTAGTTCAGTGCAGCCATGGTTCAGTTGGGCCACAAGATCAAGAGGACCGAGGAGTCATCTTTCCCTGAATTTGGCATAGAGGGCCCATGAGACTGCATCCCTTGAGCAACCCAGCTCGACTACGCAGGACTGCCTCGGCAAAGTCACTGGGTTCAGTGCCAACCGCCGAGGACGAAGACCCCGCTCGGCACTTTCTGCTGTCCACGGCCAGGAAGAGTCTGCAAAGTGCATTCGAGGGTCCCTTGCCAGATTCTCTTGCACAGGTAAACTTTGCAAGTCTTGGGCTGTTCGTGCGCTTTTTCGCAAGTAATTGAAAGAACTCTAGTCCGTATTTCAGTCAACCTAAATCCAAAGGCACCGGTCCGTTGGTTCTCCGAGAGCTAAGTTTTTTGTTCAGCATTCGTAGAGAAAACATTTCTCCAACTGAAGTCATTGCTGGGTTTGGGAGCTATCTCTGGGCCCTGGGTTCTGTTTCAATGCATAGCTACTTGAGTGCCATGTCAGGAACGGTTTCAAGTGATGTCAGTGCTACAGGTTTTTCCTTGCTTCATCTCTTGTTCAGCAGTTGGGAACGAATTGAATCAGCGATCTTGTTTCGTTCCCAAACTTCTCCTAGCAAAGGTGCTGGTGAACCTGAGAAAGACAAGGGCAAGGACAAGAAAGAGAAGAAGCAGTCTAAGAAGGACAAGAAAAAGAAAAAGAAGCAGACCAGTGCTTCGTCCGCAATCACGGTGTTGTCACGAATCTCTGAATTGCCGTGTGACACATCTCCTTGACGATTCCTGATATCAGTATCAGCTTAGGCAGTTCTTCGGATGACGACACAAGTGATAGCAGCGAGTCCGTGCAGTGTGACGACCAAGCAGATGCTTTGTCTGCTTTTGGCCTTTGCAAGAAAGACCTCGTCCGTGGTGAGAACATGTTGCGATGGGATGACTTGAGCTGTCGCCCCTTTGCATATGTCTTGTCGTGCATCACAGAGCAGCTGACAGCCGGAGACGTGTTCGAGCTGGGGGGCGAGCTTGAGCCTCTGCATGCATTTGTCAGACGACTGCCCTGCTTTGTACACTCACCCTCATGTTGA